CTTTTCATAGGCATTTGGTAAGAACCTTAGATACTCCTCAAAGAGCTGTATTCCAGCTCAAATAAAAGAATTTAGGAGCCTAGAGTAGTAAGGCCTATTGTACTGATTTTTACTTGGGACTCAACCCAGTTTCAAACCCACTCAGTAATTCATATCCCATGAAAGCTCTTAATAATCCTCTTTGCTAGCTGAGTAAATCCTAACTCTGCCATGCTTCTAGGGTTTAAGTACTTCCTTGATGGTCTTAGGCCAAGGCTGTGATATGCTGCAGAAAACAGTGTCTGAGGACAAAGAAAAGATACAAGAATTAATCTTCACATAATCCTTCAAGCAATGTGGACTAAAAGTATAATAAAATATAAAAAGTATAAGTATAATAATAATAAAAATAATAATTAAAAATAAATATAAATAATATAAAATATAAATAATATATTATAAATAATATATAATATATAATATATGTAATAGATATATTATTATTATAAATAAATAATATAAATATATTATAAATAATATAAAATATAAATAATAATAAATAAATAAATAAAAAATAAATAATAATAAAAAGTATAATAAAAGTATTGCCCCCTTGGGATTCCCCGGTGGCGCAGTGGTTGAGAGTCCGCCTGCCGATGCAGGGGACACGGGTTCGTGCCCCGGTCCGGGAAGATCCCACGTGCCGTGGAGCGGCTGGGCCCGTGAGCCGTGGCCGCTGAGCCTGTGCATCCGGAGCCTGTGCTCCGCACCTGGAGAGGCCACAGCAGTGAGAGGCCCGCGTACCGCCAAAAAAAAAAAAAAAAAAAGTATTGCCCTCAAAAGAGGGAGTCTCCTTTTTTTCTAAAGGGCATTAACGGACTCACTGCTCAGCATATTCTAAAGTAGAAAGTGTTGCCATTAACACAATGCTTTAAGTGGAAGGGACCCAACAATGTCACCATTAAAAACTCTGATACTATTCACAACAGTGAAATTATGAACTTAACAGTCCTAGGACATGAATTGCAAAGAAACCTCTAAGACCATCTAGAACAAATGGCTCTTAAACTCATTTGAAATCAATTTTACATCACAACCCACTGTTCACATAAAGTGAAAATGATTTCACAAACTATTATCCCTATTAACATGCCATATATATATATTTTTTGGCCACGCCATGCGGCTTGCGGGATCTTAGTTCCCCGACCAGGAACTGAACCCGGGCCCCAGCAGTGAAAGCACCGAGTCCTAACCACTGGACCGCCAGGGAATTCCCATGCCATATACTTCTGTTATAAAAGAGCTGGCTGTGACCCATTAGGTTTCCACTATCCACTAATCGGTCATAATGAAATTTTAAAAAAGCACTGATCTGTCACTGCTTTAATCTCCAAAAAAAGGCAACATAGCACAGCAGCAGAGTACCAACTTTCAAGTAGATTACCCAGGTTTGAATCCTGATACCGCCACTCACTTAGCTATGAGGACCCAAGTCCTAGGACACATCATTAGCTTCTGTGCCTCAGTTTTCTCATTCATAAATCAGGAGGAAAATCTACCTCAAAAATTTTATGAAGCTGAGTTTTATTTGTGAAGATGCTTAAAAACAGGACCTGCGAAGATGGGTAAGTCAGGCCCCCGAGATGGTGGCCCAAGATCACATGCAGCTACCAGTGGGGCGCTTGGGCTAGAACACTGGCCGATGGCCTTATCACTATACTGAAGTATTGAGTATACGATGAACATTGACAACACAAGGGCCCTCAGTGTGAAACATACAAAATGAAGAACGTATCTGAACCATAAATTTGACAAATGCTTGGTAATGAACATTATTTCCTTACTTTCTGAAAATCATTAGAGGGCTAATTAACATCTTTTAAAAAAACCTCCTAGAGAAATGTAAATTAAAGCCTTCATTTTCTAAGTCTGAGTGGCAAGAACAAATAATTTTCATTGAAAATTCTTTTCAACTTAGGCAGTAGAGAATTACTGAGAATCTGGAACTATTTTCATCTGTTTTTTTGGTCTAATTTTGTCTAGCTTCAGGTCAAACATTAGCTGGGACCTTGGGAAATTCAGTTGATTTTTTTTGGACTTGCTTCCGTAACCATGGGTTAGGTCCAGCATGTCCTAATGTTCCCTGAGCTGCTTTTAAGGTTTTCCTCAAGGGCAAAAATGACAGATTGAGGGTAAGCGGAGGAAGAGTTAAAAAAACAAACCAACCCTCCCAATATGACAGAAAATAAAAGATAAATAATTCTATTTACTGGCCATAGTAAACAAGCTGAAGCACCCACAGCTGGCAACAGCGACACAGAAATGAATCTGCTTTTGGCACCTGATTTCAAACTATAAGTCTGCCGCTTAATACACATTAATTTTGGACAAATAACTTCATTATTTTTCTGATCAGATGTCCTATCAGTCAAGGGGAAATTAACTTGGCAGGGCAGTTGAGAGGATTAAATAGGACTAAATGTGAATGTGTGTGCCTAATACATGACCAGGCACCAAAATGAATTCAATCAATGCTGGGTCCCTGTAACTAAAACAGAAGGGCCAGACCATTTATGGACATGCTCAAGGTGTTCTAATTTTAAACTGAAGATAGTTCAGTCTCCAGCTTCTCCCCCTGGGTATTTATTATTACTTACTATTTATTATTACTCCCTTTAAAGCATCAAGTCTAAAGGCTTTTGTAAGTGAATTGTGGCTAACCAGTAAATGGCAAGTCTGCTGTGAACTGAATTTCATGATGGTCTGGGACTCATCTTCTGGTATTGACACCACAGGTTTCTTAAGCACCTGCTGAATGCATCAAAAACGTTATCGTGGGGGACTTCCCTGGTGGCGCAGTGGTTAAGAATCCGCCTGTCAGTGCAGGGGTCATGGCTTCGATCCCTGGTCCGGGAAGATCCCACATGCCCTGGAGCAACTAAGCCCGTGCGCTGCAACTACTGAGCCTGCGCTCTAAAGCCATGAGCCACAACTACTGAAGCCCACACACCTACAGCCCATGCTCCACAACCGCAATGAGAAGCCCACACACCGCAACAAAGAGTAGCCCCCGCTTGCCACAACTAGAGAAAGCCCACGCACAGCAACAAAGATCCAACACAGCCAAAAATAAATTAATTAATTAAAAAAAAATCAGTGGTTTCTGTTAAAAAAAACGTTATTGTGGCAGGTGGTTTATACTGGTACTTAATTGTGATGGCCTCAAAATTCAACGGTAATATATATGATATACAATGGTAACTCTCCTCTTGCAAAGCTGATGAAACACAAATTATACAAGGTAAGATGATATATGGCAGAATAAAACATACAACATAACTGTCTTAATCAGTTTAAAGTGAGTCTTCCTAAACATATCAGATGACACCTATCTATAACCAGTCCAAAGAAACTCAGGCTCATAATTTAACAAAAATTGTCACATGTTTGTGCCTAAAATAGGCCCTCAAATATTTCTGAATGCTTGACTCAACTCCACAAAAACAAAACAAAAAACTCAGTCCAGTTAAATATAAGTGACTAGAATTCTGATCTCAAAATATTTTACTCTATTAGAATTTTTACACACTTTAAATGGGCTTCCTAGTGTTTTTCATGACTTTTAAAAAAACTAACAGTCTCTACTGATAAATATTTGAAGTTATACACATGACTGTAGTCTACCAATCCCGTCCAAAAAAACGTACTGTTCTTTCCCAATCTCGGGTCAAATAATCATGGCTGAATGTACTGTATGTTGGAAGAGAAATCCCTAATGTTTCTATTTTGGATAATCAGTGTTAGGATGCAATCCACCCCCTCCTGTTATTTTCAGTTATTAAAACCTAAATGACATTTTAAAGGGAAAACTGCCAATTAAAAAGTTCTAACTACAAAATAGGTTTAACATTTAAAATTTCTAAACTATCTCAGAAAGTAATTATAAAAGTTAGAAAGCTCAAACCTGGGTTTAAACCCTCCCTCTACCCCGACTGAGTTCTTAGCAGTATTCTATTAATATCCTCTACATCTAGTACAAGGAGGCCCCAAAATGAGAGTCAAAAAGAGATAATACCACAGGCTGGGCCCCCTTTTAAAGATGCTCACCTCTCCTAAAGCAAGGAGATAACCTGGGACTAATCTGCTCTTTAAGAAAGAAGGCTACTTTCATAACTCACCAAAGTAGTGTAGTCATTACTTTATTCAGTACTTACAACTTTGTTAGGACTGATATTTTTTTCTCCTAATTCACAATGTTCTTTCAATGTTTATTGAAATTTTTATTTAAAAAGCAGTCTTACTGATTTAGATTTTGGCGGCCAGAGTTCTATTAATCTTATTTAAATGGATAATTTCTGCAAGTCCCCTTCAATTCTGTCTTTTCATTTCCCCTCAGAAAACAAATCAAGTGCAAACAAAACCTTGTTTCATAGTTACACTTTTAGGAGAAAAAGGATAATCCTACACAGCTTAATTTTTCAGATTATTTTCTGACTTTAAAATAAATTCTCAGGCCAATACTAAGACAGGCTAGTATAATAGCCATGGCAATATTATAAAACCCAAATTATTCTGAACTCACCAATGGTACAACTGAGTGTTTACAAAGAGAATTATCTGAAAACAAAACAAGGTACTCTTAAACTCTGACATTCTGTTTGAATATCCACTGAAACGTAATTCTAACACCAGCCAAAGCATTCACAATCACGTAATTTTAACTTTTCTAGTTTTAAAATGTCCACTTTATTTCATTTAACAGTTAGCTAATATCATTTACATCTAAGGAAGAGAGGGTCCACAAAACTGATCTAAGGTAAAACACTAACTCTTAAGAAATGGAGTCCAATTTTATACAGGTCCAGGCATCCCTAGACAAGTGTATCACAATGCAGAAAAATGGGTACCACTACTCCATTTTACATGAGATAAAAGGGAAGTATCAATAACTTCAGAAAGTAGTAAAGTCACCTGTCCCTTAAAATATGAGTATGTAATTGTTACAAAGCCATAGTAAATGGTTTATAAAATGTAATTTTATTTTATGTTACTCTGTTGTTACATAGGGCATAACATTTTCACAAGGCCTTTTTGGGACTACAGTCGATGATTATTAGCAACATACAATAGTGGTCCAACTCTCTAACAATCACTAGACAAACTGGACACCCTCTCACATGTGCACAAATCTGCATGGAAAAGTACTAAAGTTTTAGACTTGGACTTGTGTACTTTATTTCCCCTTTCTAGTGTATTAAGAAATGACATGCACTTTCATTTGCCAAAAGCAATGCTTGTATTCTGGCAGCAACATGCTACTTCTATTACATCGTAAAGTGAATACCAGAACTACAAAGGCAGGAGGTGTAAGTGAATTTTTATTGGGAAGGGAAGTTGTCAACTTAAACAGCAGCAAATGAAGAATGAATGAGGAAACTCCCTGTTGTCACAGATACGCAAGACCTCCATCATATATGATACAGGAGGCATTTTAATTTGTGACCTCCAGCCTCAAAATGTCAACTGCTTTTCCATTCAATCTAATACTTCTGGATTCCTACCAAAAAGGAATATATTAAGAGGATGGAAAAGTTGCTTTACTGAAAGAAAACCCCCGAAGAAGAGTAAGGGAGGGAATGTAGAAATCAGGAAGTTATGCAGAACACTCTTTAAACTGTAATTAACTACATTTTCATATCTTCACAGTAATACAAAACACAGTCACTTGCAGAACTGGTTCAGATTACTTAAATACCAGATACATTTTTAGTCCTCTACATAAGTGTTTGGAAGTTACTTATGTTTATATGAAATGAAGCTATTAATACTTTTCTACAGCAGTAACTGCACACCAGAAAGGCCAAGACAAACACAAATCAAGGAATGGAGTTTTCCCAAAGCTGCGGCGTGAAAAGACTATAAACAGTTGATTCCATACACATGAATGGGTTTCTTTGCTATAGGAAATCCAAATGGAATAAGGAATGGAGATGAGTAAAAAGGTTTCTTGAGGGGAAGAAGGATGACACCCTGTATGCACTTAGTTCTCTGCCCCTTCTGCCGCATCACATTCTTCTCCTGCACTGTCTGATGTCCATAACTAGAAAAAAAAATCATATTAAGTTACTATTTCTAGATCAATTATTTCAAGTCTTATTATTATACCACAATGTAATTCTTAGAGCAGTAAATTAAACAATAGAGATTATGACTAAGACTGGAAGTTATATTTCACCAACTCCTCCCAAAGTGTACCCCTGTATTCCTTTCACTGTGCATTTGCAAAATGACAAACACATATACACTATTTGAGTACGTTTTCAAAGCTTACTATAATCTCAGATAAAAACAAGGTAACTAACATCCTTAGAATTTAATGCTCTCTCAATTTCTGGCAGCCCAATGCTCTTTTTAAAAGCACTACTAAAATATAATTTATGAGATTAATAAGGCCAAAACAAATTTTTTGGGGGGTGGGCAGGGACCATGGTCAAAGTCACCATTGCCAAGTACTTGAAGGGCTATCATATAGAAAAAGAAGCAGGCTTACTTTGTATGCTGCAAAGAGTTAAACAGGAGTGAACGATGTTAAGTTATAGGGAAGCAGCATGTGTGCGTGAAGATATGTAGATACGGTTCTTGAATTAGGTAGGATGTTAGTCTCTCTAATTTTAGGATGGAACAATGAAGTGAAAAAGGGAATAGTCAATACTTGTCGACTATGCATAATAATAGTTCACAAAATGGATTTCTATTAGACCAGCACCAAGACACTAGTGGCAATTTTAGCAAAGCTGAAGTCTTAACCTTTAAGTCATTATTAAGATACTAAAATAAAGACAAAACAAATATCCCCAAAGAACTGTCTCTGGGAGAGAGAAAACAGAACTAGTTAAAAGATAGCTCCACGTGGGCTTCCCTGGTGGCGCAGTGGTTGAGAGTCCGCCTGCCGATGCAGGGGACACGGGTTCATGCCCCGGTCCGGGAAGATCCCACATGCCGCGGAGCGGCTGGGCCCGTGAGCCATGGCCGCTGAGCCTGCGCGTCCGGAGCCTGTGCTCCGCAACGGGAGAGGCCACAACAGTGAGAGCCCCCCCTCCAAAAAAAAGATAGCCCCACGGTGTATCTGGAAAGAGGTTAATTGCTCAGTTTGTTTTTCTTCTATAGAAGCTATTTATGCTGATCATTTTTCTATTGTCACCTCACAACCAGAGGGATTTCTAATGGCTGGGAATGAACTGTCTTCATAATTTCTCTCTTCAGCAAAGTTGAACAGATAGGGTGCTAATGTTAAAATTTTTTTTTATCTAGTAGAAGATAAAGCATCAAATCTGGGGGGGGGCGGGAGAACTACATTTATATTAAAAGGTGTATTTCTTCCACATTTTGTCTAAGATTCTGACCTATCCAATTTACTTGAACCTACAAAAGAAGCTAAGTAAAGCTCAACCTGTATTTTTTTCACCATTACTTTTTCCTCCATCCCCTGTCTATACAAGAGGTAGGGAGAAAAACAAAAGAAAAAACAATTAAAAAAGACAAACTTTCTATATTAACATAATTTATCAACATCTTCATACCAGTCAAATAAAGAGTCAATAATGTTAATATTATGAGTTCCTAAAATCTTAGTACTTTCTCAGGAAGGTCTGATAAAATGCCTATTCAACTTGAAAATCTGCCTACGAAGAACAGTTGTCCTATACAAAATACTAATACATATTTAATATTTTTATGTAATTTTTATATAATCATTTTCTAAGAGCAAGTGTAGCTCTAATATAGGTGCCCCAAAACACAGGGAGCCTGAATAAAGTATTAATACTTTTGTTCCTGAAAAGGAAATAAAATTAAAAGTATGAAAAACTCACTGTTAGGTTGTCTCTAAGCAACTGCATGATGAGGGTGCTGTCTTTGTATGAGTCTTCATTCAGTGTGTCAAGCTCTGCAATGGCCTCATCAAAAGCCTGACAAGTATTAATATCCACGGTAAACAATATTCACATCGACACACACTGGTACTCTATAGTCACAAACCATTTTTATAAAATAGATGAACATCCACTTTATGTTCTATTATCACTTAAAACAAAACTCAATGAAATCACTGCCTCGGATTCTCAGCTTAAGAATTTCTGAGGATGACTAAAACTTATCAAGTTATACATACTTAATCAGTAAACAAGCATTTCTTAGTTCTTTCACAGGACAGACAGCACAGTAGCTATGCCCAATATATTTTTTACAAATAAGAACTAGTATTTATTTGCAAAAACCCCTTGGAACACTTCCATTTTGAAACACTTTGAGGAATGCAGAGATTCTACTGATCAAACCTGGCAGGCATTACTTTCCAATCCTTTACATTTCTCTCATACTTTTTTGATTACTCTGACCAATATGCTCTTTAGACAGATCTTACTGCTTACAACCATAGCTGGGAGAGTAAGATCTTGAGAAGGATGGTGGTAGGTGGTCACGATGGTAAGAAAAAGGAGATATCCAAATAAATGTAGAAATCATCCCTGGATATCCAAGTAAAATACCTAGAAATTAACATGCTTGCTATCTCAAATAACCTAAAGAGGGTATTTCTGGAAACACATCTTACCGTTTTAGCCAGTGTGCAGGCAAGTTCTGGGTTATTAAGGATCTCATAGTAAAATACAGAAAAGTTAAGAGCCAGCCCCAGGCGGATTGGGTGTGTGGGTTGCATCTCTTTCTTGCTTATATCAAAAGCCTCTTGGTAAGCTCCTTGGGAATTATCTATCGTTTCTGTGAAGGGAAAAAAACGAAATAAAAAAGCATGATACTGGAAATATCCACCCAGTATACAGTAATACCTTTAACCTATGCTACTAACTCGGTAGAGCCAGACTTCTCTCTGTAGCCTTCGTTTAAAACCACAGTAGCAAACCAAAAACATTATCCTGTACTGGGCTATTAAAAAACTAGTTTATAATGTTGCTTGTTTATAATCAGCTTAATAAAAAAAACATGAGACAGTATATCAGGTTTTTCATCTCTGGGGCTAAAACACTTTTCTTCTTTCATGTCTTTTAATTTTATTACCTGAAAATGCAGCAATTATAAACAATTTGATATATCTCAATAATATCTCAATAAAACTTGAAAAAAATCAGCGGCAATATCCCTTCCCACAATAATGGAAGCATTTTACAAAGATCACCACCACCAAAATCTCTATTTTTGTGACTTATCTGTAGAAATAACACTGACCCTCGGTATCAACATGTATTATGTGAAAGGCAATATAAAAGCACCAGTATATAGATCAAAATCTGCTGACCAGAGTTTGATTACTGGCTTAATAAAAATGTCACCTTCCTGAACAAAATGTTCAGGAAGAACTACCAGCACTAATCTGATTATATCATGTTTTGAAAAGGTTAGGTTTTCTGAATGAGGCCATTGGGCCCATTACAGCTCTAGAAGGACTGACCTAACAGAAATCAAGTTATCCCTTTAAAGCCCAAATATGTGCCTTTCCTCCTCCTTCTTCAATGGCACATTCACTGATCTAAACATAGCTGGTATGGCCCTCACATTTAACTAAGGAGCTCTTGGTGTCCAGCACATAAGGAGGCATTACAATGAGAGTTCTAAAGCGTCTCAGCATCTAGACTTTGTAAATACAGACTATTTACAAATCCCAGACTACTGGAGTGTTCTACGTATAGGACAAGAAAATCCCAATGAGCCAGAAAGGGTCAGATCAGATTAATGCTGGGGCTATGGCCCAATCTCCCAAAGATATCCCTTTGACTAGTTGACGTTTAAATGTTCAGTCCTGTGCAAATATCTGTCACATTCAATTTTGCTTATCATTATGGCAAGAGAAATTATATATTGATAACACAACAGTTTAGTATACAGATTCTATTACAGCAAGGTACAAAAGTTTTCTCTTTATATTTTCAATTACACTAATTTTGGGGATGCTAAAACTGTCTCACTTTTAGTAACTCTCTGAAAGAGAGGAAGAGGAGGCTGTAATAACCATTTGTGGGGCATGCCCTTTTTGGATAGGGTAAAATGACGAACAAAATAATAAACTTATTGGAAAAAAAATAAGGACTTAAGTGATACTTCTACCCAGACTTGCTTCTACCTAGACTAGCAGGCACATGCACAATATACTACCGTACACTCAGCTACCAATACTCCAGGAGACTGAGTTCACTGCTAATAAATTTACTTTGACTGTTTTACAATCAAGTTAGGAAATCAGGTTACTCTTTTCCCCATAGCTGTGTTTTCTGTGATAAATTATATACCAGCAATAAAACTCTCATCTGACCTCTCCTCCTCAGAAATCTGGTTATGTGTAATTAGTAGTCAATGTTATGATCCCTCAAAATAGGTAGTAATTAATAAATTAATATGTCAAGTAGAAAAAGTACAATGTCCTGTTTCTACTCTACATGTAATTTCCAGTTACCTTAAGTTTCAAGATACAAGATGCTGAAGACCATGTGACACAACAGAATCACCCAAAGCATATGCAAAGAACTCTGGGGCTAAAAATATGGTGAACCAAATTCTAAAGCCTAAAAGATTAAGCCTGTTTTTAATAATATCTTATCAGGTTATAATCAGAGAGTTTATGAGTTTAATTTTTTATAAAGAGCACATAATGTAAAGTCATAACTGTTTTCATGTTTGAGAACCTAAGGTAACATTATAAATTTATCCTCCCTCTCTTTTATACTTTAGCTTTACCCATAAACCAAATACACTTACGTTTCCGATCATCACCACAAGCAACTTCAGCAAGGTACCGGAAGTAATCTCCCTTCATCTTCAGATAGAAGACCTTACTCTCTGGATTAGTTGCATTGGCTATTAAATACTTATCCAACAATTCCTGAAAGAAATAAGTTAAAACATTAGGTACTAGCAAAAATAACTGCCATAGTAACTCCACACCATACCACCCTGGATTGGAAACATGGCTAGAGAGCAGGGGTCAGGTGGTTGCCATTAGTTGAATGCTCTGGGGTCATAGCAAGTCATAATTTCTAATGGTAGAGCTATATCACATCAAACACTAATTAGAAAGAGCCTGTCTGTCCACTCATCCACTCACTGAAGCAAGCATTTCCTGATACCTGCTAGGTGCTAGGCACTGTATTTGACCAGAGGGGAAATAAGGTCCTTGCCCTCAAAGAGTTCACAGTCTAATAAGAGGTAAGTATACCGTTAACAGTACGGATATGTGAATAAGGGGCTATGGAAGCACAGAGAGGGAATGTCTAGCTTTGTTGATGATGATCACTGTAAAGACAGGCTTCCCTGGGGAAGGGATATTTGCCTTGTCAAGAAGTAACAGAAGGAATGCAGCAGTTAGAAAACAAGGATGTGCACTTTTAGGGAGGGGAAATGAAATGTTTAAGACATCAAATATGAAGAAGAGTGTAATCACAGAGTAAGTCATCACGGCCCAGAGTAGGGCTACTCAGTGTCCTCTGCGACCAGCGCTCATCCAAAAACAGGGTGAGTCTAGGGGTTGAGAGCAAGTGGCCTAAAAACTTACCTAGCAATGTGACAGTCATGTCTATCAAATACAACTATTTTTAAAAATTAGGTTAGTATTTAAGTATGTCTTTTATCCCTCACTTCATACCAAGAAATGTCCACTTGATCCAATGAGCTAGTGCCTCTCAAACTGAGATATTTGTACAAGGTGTGCCCAGGAGTATTAAAAGGTCACAAAAAATGAATATGATAGACACCACCTTGGATTATCAATTTTACTTGATGCTAAGTAATTTAAAAATCTTTTTGTAATAAGAAACTTTATGGTGAATAAAATTTGGGGGGAGTAAAATCAACAAATAGATACTAAAGAAGTAGAATATGGTTTAGAAAATGTAGTTTTAACTCAAGAGCTTTCTTGCTGTTTATCTGAATAAAAAGAACCTAAACAAAATGCAATGATTATATGCATATTATTTTAAAGAAAATAAACAGAGAAACATTTTAAATCCTTAAATTTAATGAAAAATATGTTTAGGTTAAAAAAATATATTTTAAAAGGGTCTGAAGCTCAGGGGAAGTTAAACTTAGTATTACACTAAAATTACCTAATGAAGCCCCAGAAATTTATACGTTATAAAAGTGGCAAGTATCAAAAGTGTGGCTTACATCTGCAAAGCTGCTGAGCCAAGAAGGGAAGAAATAGATGGGCTACACCCAAACACTAAAGCCAAATGAAAATAAATGCTGCTTCTGCACCGTCATACTCTTAAGTGGGAAAAGAACTGAAGGATCATGTTGTAAGAGTTTCTCCTGCTCACCATCACCAATACAATTATAATGGTTATTTATTAAAATAAACTTGAGGAAAACTCTTTCCCAGAATCTTACAAAATCATACTACTTTAAATTTTTCCTCTAATACCATTTTTACATATCATGGATGACTTCCAATTTTAAAACTATTTCTATGGAACACCTGAATTTAGGGGGTTTCTGGGGAGGAAGTGGGGGGCAATGGTGAGACAGCCACAAAAACGTTCACTAAGCTTCTAAACGTCAAACTGACTCAGTCATCTCTATCTTAAAAAAAATAATAATTTAAACAAGAGTAGATTCTGAGAAGCAGTATCAAATAATGCAAACACAGTATTATACTGCGGGAACCAACACCCCTGGCTTAAATCCAAACTAACGAACTACAATGTAAAATGGAAGAGCCTCTCACTTTTCTTTTACTCGCAAGTAAGTCAGGCAGTTAATATGAGATCCCACAGAGGATCTCCAAAACAGTGCCAGCACCAGCTCTGGTAAAGACAGTATTTACAATTAAAAAAAAAAAAGCTACTTGGAACATTTAAGACCTAGTACTTTATGATTAAATGTGGCAGAAATGTGGTAGCAGCGGCTGAGAAAAGTCTGACTGACTAGAATGAGGACTTGGGGAGAGGAGAGGAATGTGATTCTAGCTCTCATCCCCGCTAAGTCACTTGAGCCAGATGTGGGAATGCTCATGAGGACTCTCTTATTGGCACAATGGCCTTCCAAGGATTTGGAAAGCTGCTAAACAGCTACTGCACCGGTTTACACAGCCACTTATAAGCTAACTGTAAACTTTTCCCTTCTAAAATTATTAACTTTGATCACTAGTTTGCATATAGCCATTACGTACGATTTACAGTGTTGGCTTTTATAAAGTGACTTGTGCATTACTTCCATCCTGGAGTTTCAGCCAGGTATCATGGTTCTTTGTCAGATGCCACTAGCTCTCTGTGAAGGAAACAACAGGTACAGAATAATTCTGTCTTTCCATGTGCTATCAGTAGTAGCGATGTAGATTTTAGCCCAATTAAAAGACAATGGATTCTGCTTCATGTCTTACCAAAACGATTTACGGCTGTATCAGGTATTACATCAATACCAGTTATTAATTATTAATACCACATAGAATAAAGGCTATAAATACTTAAGGTATATAGAGCCTAGGTGCACAATTTTTTGTTAAAAAAATTAAATTATAAAAAAGACTCTGGGTTTCCCTGGTGGGGCAGTGGTTGAGAGTCCACCTGCCAATGCAAGGGACGCGGGTTCGTGCCCCAGTCCGGGAAGATCCCACACGCCGCGGAACGGCTGGGCCCGTGAGCCATGGCCGCTGAGCCTGTGCTCCGCAACGGGAGAGGCCACAACAGTGAGAGGCCCGCGTACAGCAAAAAAAAAAAAAAAAAAAAAAGACTCAATACAGGTCAGAGAGTAAAAACCAAAATGACAAGTGGCTCCCTGGAATAAGAAAATCTTCCCAGATAAGGTCATTGATAAGAAGTCAGGAGAGAGGAAGGGAATCAATTTTTAACATTAATGTAGTTAAAAGTTCCTCCACTAATTCCCCCTTTACATTATTCTCGTCAATTAAGCAGGAGATCCCCTTTGTAACGCTTCAACCAGCAAATTTTATGATCCTGGGAGGCTTGGAGAACTAAGATTGGGGCTCCCTTCAGTGTTGAGTGTTACCCGATTGAGAGGCAGAATGCAAGAAGTACATTCCTTTTTGAGAATCTGAGAGATCTGTGAAGAAGTCAGGGCACTTACTACCCAAAATTACAAGATGCACTAGTAACAAAACATTCTAGACGAAAGAAACTCAAATACAAGCAAAGTCAGAGGAAAAAATATAAGGTATTATTATACAGGTCGTTTTTGGAGATGCTAAAGGACCTCAGAATAAGCTTAATCTCAGAAAAATAGGATGGGAGTAACAATAAAAAGGATTACATCATAAAAGCAGTAAAGAACTATGCAAGAAATGAAATTGTGAGAAATAACAGTGATGTAAATTTAGTATAGTAATTATTCCTCTTCAACCCAAAACCTTAGAGAAAAGGTTAGGAAGAATAACAAAACTCCAGTACTAACTCTATCTCTAGGAGTGAATTATGTTTACATACAATAATCCTACCATCACTTCCACAGCTTTTCCAAGACAATTAATTTACCTTCAGTGGTAAGAGTCCATGTGTGGCATTCAACAAACGAATACTTTTATCTTAAATTCATTTATAAGTGATTTGTTTTATAGACAAAATAAGCTGCTCTTCTTCCTCATTATATAGCTTATTCTTTATATACCAAACTGATTTTTTTTTCCAAACTGATTTTTTTTAAGAGAGCAGGTAACCGATGAAGAGCCTTGAAATACAAACAAAATAATCAACAGGAAACAAAAAATGTTCTAAGGATTTTCAATTTCCTATCAGCTTACTGAAATTCATTAAATAAAACACTATTAACATGTTCAATCTCTAACTTTATGGCACATATACTAGTCACTATCTGTATATTTTTATCTGTTTAAGCAGCACACATTACCATAAAAGATTACATTATTCATTCAACAAATATATGTGTTCAGTATGTGCCACGCCCTATTCTAACCACTCTTCCATGTATTATTTACATATAAGAACCATTATGATAATTTTACAAGTGAATAAAATCACCTAGGAATCAAGAAACTTACAAAAAGTCATATTATTAATTAAATGGGGCTAGAATCTGAAAATAAAGATAGCATTCTGAGCACTACCCTATAAAATAATGGAGCATATCTATGAGAGATGAGGCTTTGGCCTTAAGTTATTTAATTAGTAAAGCAAACAAAAGAATTAATATAGGGACTTCCCTGGTGGCGCAGTGGTTGACAATCCGCCTGCCAATGCAGGGGACACAGATTCAAGCCCTGGTCCTGGAAGATCCCACATGCCGTGGAGCAACTAAGCCCGTGCGCCACAACTACTGAGCCTGTGCTCTAGAGCCCGTGAGCCACAACTACTGAGCCCGTGTGCCACAACTACTGAAGCCCAGGCACCTAGAGCCCGTGCTCCGCAACAAGAGAAGCCACCGCGTTGAGAAGCCTGCGCACCTCAACAAAGAACGGCTCCCGCTCACCACAACTAGAGAAAGCCTGCGCGCAGCAACGAGGACCCTATGCATACATACATACATACATACATACATAAATTTATATTAAAAAAGAATTAATATAGTACATAGGGTAACATAACTATTCAACAAATGGAACATTTATCTAATGGTAAGAGCTAAATTTTTCTAACATCCCAACTTCAAGTATTATATATAGTACAAAGAACCACTGACATGTAGGAAGAATAAAGTCTCTAGACAATAACTAACTCTTAATTAGGTTTTAACTCCAAGAGACCAAAATCAAAGAAAAATTCAATACTCAAGAAGGAAGTCATATTTCATCCAGAAAATTCTATTGCATTTTACAAACAGGCAGAAAGCATGGAGGAAGAAAACAGTCCAAGGCACAGAGCCCATGGCATAGGAAAAGGCACAATTGCACAAACAGGTAGAACGTCACTGAAGACA